TGTACGTGTTAATTACGTATTGATCAATGATATGAAATAATTTACAGTGGTGTATTTATTTATATTCAAAATATCAAACGGCTCAAATGAAAAATTCATTTTATAATAAAACAAAATATTTCTACAATTATTATATTTATATTGTATTATATGAATATTAAAAACGACAAATAATATTCATATAACGTTCTAGGAATATTGTGCATTGACGACGTACTTGCCGTTGCCACTCGTTTCTGGTTTCAGCAATCTTCTGGTAAGTGTTGCCCATCATAGCGATCAACATGTTCACGAGCAAGATTGCCACGATCGCCATGTACAATACAAACAGCAGCTGCAATTATATAGCGATTATCGTTGTAACGCTATACCGACTGCATTTAACGCTCTTTTGCATGAGTTATTCGTTACGTGAAAAAATTTGTGTGACTTATCTAATTGTCGTTAAAACATATCATGTGAATGTTAATTAGAAGATATGAAAGATGGTATTGTTTACTTCTATCTATGAATATACTGAGCACATGTCTGAGCGACGGCAAGTAAAGTACCTTGGCCTCGAATTCATGCTCGGTTCTGTCAAACGCGCCAAAGTAATCACCGAAATTCGTCATACTCATCAGGAACATCGCCATAACACTTTCCATCGGCGATGGCATCGGATTAGTGATAGAGTCATCGATGCCCTCTGGAGTGTTCGGGTTGTCGAATGACAGGAATATGATGTAATATGCTGTGAATAAACTAGGTATCTATAATTGTAACAGTGTAATCGCGTGTGATATTTGTCCAAAATATGCGAGAAATCGTCCTCGCGGAAATATTTAACTTTCCGAAGCTGACGTCAAAGCTGTAACAGATGCTAAAATCTGTGAGATCATTTAATTTACGTTAAAAGACACTAATTTTAGAGAATCAGTATGATATAACTCGTATGAAAGAGAATGAACACTAAATTTGTTTTAATAATGATTCAAATTTGCACGATTCTATATAATAAATATTTTTTGGAATTATTTTTAACTATTTTTTTAAATTCAAACTTATTATTTATAATAGTCGTTATAATTATGATTGTATTTGTTGAATAGATTTTATCTAATATGTAAAGTCTACATATATTTTATCTAATTATATGTAAGAAAATATATTTGTTAATTATAACGCTCTAATAATTGGTTTATTTTTGCTTTTTGAATTGCCTGCCAATTTACATTTATTTGTTGATTAGAAATATTTATTTCATTTTTCATTTTTATCTTGGTTTTATTACATTAATATTTGAAATTATCACAATTTATAGTATAATTTTTTCATATTTATAAGAAAACTGTCACTTATATGGTTACTATTACTAACATTATAGCAGTAATAACCATAAAAATAGAGTTTCTAGTCATAATTATTTTACCTCGCAATTATAGTCACAAATATCAAATACTTTTCTCTCAGTGTGAGTCCAATAGACCACTACAGCTCTGGATGGTTAAGATGATGTTTTCCGGAACTAATTGATCGATCATCAGCCATGATCATATCAATTTATAAGATTTTTTATTGAGGAAGTCTCAAGGAAGTATGAAAAAAATCGTCTCTCTCTTCGCGAACGAACAGACGGTCCATTCAAGCAGCGACGGCGCTATGTCGTTTTGTTTGCGAAAAGTAAGACACAATAGCACATAGCGTTGCGGTCACGCTGCTGATTGCATAACGGCGTGCGTCGCATCATTTAACGTATCTCGAGACCTTCTCGGCATAGCGCCTCCTTCTGCGGTTTCTTCCCCGCCATTTATTAGTATAGGAGACCTTCAACCGGTCGGATGATGTGTGTCAGTGTCGCTTTGCAGCGTCCAGTAAAATCGTCGATTAGATCACATGACATTACGCGTATCCAATGCTGATGCTGTTATACCAGAGGCTAATTAACAATTGTTGGGAATTAATAGAATAAGGCACCGGCCGGTCATCGTCGGTGTGTCACCGGTGGAATTGATGATGTTTCTCGTTTTTTACACATGCCATTATGTCTCTTATAGCTTCGATTATCAATTGCGATAATCGACAACAAGGTTATTCGTTGATTGTGTTCGGGACAGGCCTCATTCAGAAAGATAAATGGAACAGCAGTTACGTGAAATCAAAGGAGATATATAAGGACCCTCTTTTTTATTTCGAAACGCCACGTGTTACCTTGAGAGAATCCCATGACGAAGACGAGGTAGATGGAGACGAATCTGATGAGATCGCCCATGATCATCCTGTAAATCATCACGACAAACGGTCCGACTGTCTTGAAGCCCCGGCAGAAGAATAAAAAGTATGGCGCCGTCGTCAGCATCACCACGACCGCTAGCATATCTTCGACCTCGTCGGAGCAAGTAAATCGCAGAACCGGGAACCACATCAGGATGCAGCATGAGATCAGGAACATCACGCGTGACGGCACCGTCATCTAGAAATTGCGCTCGCGTTAACACGAGTAACGGCGTTCTTGTAGTATATTTTGTAATTCGTTATAATATAAATCAGCTCATTCATGATAGACGGAGAAAAGGGTTTAGTTGGATTAGTTAGAATTCTAGTTGAAAATGGATGAATCAAAATTTTCTGATTAAATCTGCTAAAATTCTAGTTGTGATATCTAATTCTGGTTAAATTTCGGAATTCTGATTCATATAATCAAAACTTTCTGGTCCATGGAACTTTTGTCCATTTTCTACTAGACATTTTTTTCAATGTACTCAATGGATACTTAATTCGATTTGACACAAATCGATGTAAGTGTCGTTCTATCTTCGTTACTCACTGGAACTAAGAAAGATAGAATGATGTTTGTGTCACTAAATGGAAAATATTCAATATTGATTTACGACAGAGTGGATTTAAAAATTGGAGAATTATTAAGACAAGTCTTGTTACTTTTTGTATGTATTAAAAATAACGTCTTGAATGACTCTTACGAGATTTTCGATGAACATATGAAGACCTAAGAATCTCGCCTCCCGCAACGCAGCCAAAATGTAGAGCACCGCTGCGATGAACATAAAAATTTCCGCAGTTAGACGAATCTTCGCACTCATTTCTGATAGCTGCATCAGTCTGCACTCCTCCGAGAAATCGTCCCACCTATTAAATAATTATATATATTTATTTTATAATTTTAATATAATAAAATGCCATGGCATACACGCAGACAACTAAGTTCTATAAAATCTGCTTGACAGATTTATAAAACATATGCAGACAAATTTTGCAGAAAAGTTACTTTCTAAAATATTTCACATCTTGCAATGGAATATTTTGGAAATATTTCTTATGCTGTGTGGGCATGTAATTAAATAATATCTCTATTCATCAATAGTTTTTTGTAATATTTCTTGTAATATATAAATTTTATTATAACATTAAATATTATATTTTAATGTACCAATAATCACGATTAAATTTTGATCGCACGACGCCGTTGATAATTGTCTTGACAGTTGAATTTGCGTCGGTTTTGTTGTAAGTATTCATAAAATAATCCGACGCGTTTGGAGGGCTATCGGTATACCACAGTGTATGAATGGTGGCCTTGTCAGGAGGACTCAGAATGCCCTCGTTTTTGTTCAAGAGCAAAATGCTTTTCAGGGCTGACGTGATATTTGACGTTATTTGCAGCTGGATCTTCTCTAGCGATTCCTGCGTCATATTTAAGGATGATTTGAAATTCGAGGTAAAAGCCGCTATAAGGCTATTCGTAACCAA